AACATTTTTACAGCCCTTTACTTTGTGAGGTAGTGTCTATCTTTGTTTCAGATCGAAGAGTTTAAGTTAGCCTGAGTATAACTCCATTTTGAAATAAAGATCTTGACTGGGAACTGAATTCAGGTACCAGAAATTCACAGAATGTACACTTGGCAGAGAACAAAGTTAACTCTCCTAGCAACAGCCTCCAGGAGATATAACGAATAAATGCTTCATAGAAAATAGAGACAATCTCCCTGGCAATAATCAATGAGAATCAGTTGGGAATCGGGTGGGAAAATTCTCCCCAATGTTTCAGATATGGCTTAGAAAAATAGTCATTGTGATTATATGCCTTAGCCATTGTAATTGTGTACCTTAGAAAAGGTCACCCCACCCTGCTAAACTCCACCCAATTCTGTAACACCAAAGCTTGTGCCCCCCTGCTTGCTGCCATGGAAACCCCCTGCTCACAGACTTTCCCTTTAAAAATCTTGTTCACTCAGAGCTCGGGGTCCCACTTCTCTACTGCTGTGTCAGTGAGACTTGGGTCCCGAGTTCGATTGCTCCCGTAATAAAGCTCTCTTGCTAGAGCATCGAGTCGTCTCCTGATTGTCTCTGAGGGTCCCGTGAACCTGGCATTATAAGATGTGTATTTCTTGAATGCAGCAGAATATTGAATTTTGTTTCCACATCCATTCTGTTAGTCTGTGTCTTTTTATTAAAGAGTCAAGTCCATTGATGTTGATAGACATTAGTGAGCAATGATTCCTTTTATTGTGGAGTTGGTGGTGATTGTGTGTGTATTTGTTTTCTTTTGATTTTTTGTTTTGAGGTTATCTATGTCCTGTGTTTTCTTGGCTGTAGTTGATTTCGTTAGATTGGAGTTTTTTTTTTTTCTAGTATCTTCTGTAGGGCTGGGTTGCTGTGTAGATATTGTTTAAGTTTAGTTTTGTCATGGAATATTTTGTTTTATCCATCTAAGTTGATTGAAAGCTTTGCTGGATAGAGTAGTCTGGGTTGCCATCTGTGGTCTCTTAGAGTCTGCATTACATCTGCCCAAGTCCATCTGGCTTTCATAGTCTCTGTTGTGATTTTGATAGGTCTGCCTTTATATGTTTCTGGTCTTTTTTCCTTGCTGCTTTTAATATTTTTTTCTTCTGTAGATTTAATGTTTTGATTATTATGTGATGGGAGGAATTTCTTTTCTGATCTAGGCTATTTGTTGGTCAGTAGGCCTGTTGTATGTTTAAGGACATTTCTTTCTTAAGGTTGTGGTAATTTTCTTCTATAATTTTTTTTGAAAATATTTTCTGGACCTTGGAGCCTGGAATCAACTCTTTTTATCTATTCCTGTTATTCTTAGGTTTTGTCTCTTCATGGTGTTCTTGATTTCTTGGATGTTTCGTGTCAGGAACCTTTCTGATTTTATGTTTTCTTTGAGAGATGTACTGATTTCTGCAAGTGTATCTTCAGTGTCTGAGATTCTCCTTTCCATCTCTTGTATTCTATTGGTGATGCTTACCTTTGTGGTTCCTGACCTCTTCTCTAAGTTCTCCAACTCCAAGGGTTTCTCTGTTTGTGTTTTCTTTATTGATTCTAATTCTGTTTTCATATCTTGCATCATTTTCTTCAACTGTTAGAATGTGGATTCCTGTCTGCCCATGATTGCCTCTATTCTTTTGTTCATTTCCTCTTTATGTGCCTGGAATAACTACATAATTATAGATTTAAGATCAGTTTCCTGTGTTTTAGCTGCAATAGAATATCCATTGATTTTTGGAGATTTTGGTCAAACCATGATGTTCTGGTTTTTGTTGATTGTGTTCTTACTCCGGCCTTTAGCTCTCTGGTTGTCTGTAGCCTTTACTGATTGTTCCCGGAGCCTGCACTTCAGACTGGGTCCACCTGTTTCTGGAGTCTGGAATACTCTCTGCTGGATTCACTGTCTCTGCGGTTCACTGTGATCCAGGTATGCCCAGTAGCTGGGGTGCAGGCAGAAAGGTCTCCAAGCATAAAGCTTCCCCAGTGTACCATAGGCTTCTTTAAGATGGCAGTCATTGGGATTTGGGTCTAGCACCTGGCTCATCTCTGCTGGGTTCACTCGCTGTACTGGGCTCGTTGTTTCTGACCCTGGTGTGCCAAGCTGCTGGGGAGTAGGCAGAAAGATCTCCAAGCCTAGAGTTGCTCTAGTGCCCCACTGACTTCCTAGAGATGGTAGACAATGGGACTTGAGTCCAGTGCCTAGCTCAGCTCCACTGTGCTTTCTTTTTGTGCTGTGCTCTGACGCAGGTGAGTCAGGCAGCTGGAGAGCTGGCAGAATGGATCCTCGCCTTCCCCCACAGTACCAGAAGGCATCCCCTCCACAGGATGGTGAGAGTGGGCTCCTGGGTTTGGAACCAGGAGCACTGGTACCCAGAAGGTGTGACTGTGAGAGTGGGTGCCTGGGTTTGGAGCCTCATCTTCAGTACAGGAAGGTATTCACTTCAGAGGCAGTGAAAGTGAGCACCCAAGCCGCCAGTACCAGGAAGGTGTCCACAGATGGAGGGCTTGGGCGGGTGGGCTAGTGCTGCAGCCGGACAGCAGTGCCGGACAGGAGTCTGGGAATTTTCCCCAGTATTAGCCAGGTGGCCAGAAGATGGACCTTCGTATATCCTCGTGGATTCTCTTCTCACCTGAGAAACACAGATGTCAGGTTTTGGGGTCCACAGTATGGCCTGCCCGTCATCCAGCTCTCACTGTTGAGCTACTTGCTGTTCAGATACCCTGTGGGGTTGGCACGGCCATCTTGGATCTCCCCGGTCATGGTGTTTTATTACAGCGATGGAAAAGCAATAAATATAGTGGGAGATTCTATATCATGGAGAAGGCTTCACCACAGGGACATATTTATTTCAACCCTGCTGCACTTTCCTTAGAGAACTTGATAAAAATTCAAATAGTAAAGGAAAATATTTTGGGAAATTTCAGGATCCTCCAGGAACTTCCAATGTAATCTAATTATTTTAATATTTGAAGAATCAGAGCAGGAACTATTCATCACTGGGACATACAGGCTGGGTGTGTATGAATCATATCTGGAAAACAGAGACCCAGGGATGTACTTCTATTAGTTTGTCTACCTAATCTATCACCACCTTTACCAGAGATTCCTAGAAAGACAAAAATGTGTGAGTAGTAGAAATTAAGGCTTTAAGGCAGAGTATAGTGGTTGAGACTGGATATGGGGAAATGAATGTATAGCTGGAATGGCTCAAATGTTCTGTCAGCTCATTAAATGAAAGTGAATTTTATTCTTGTTCAGCAGGAGATCAGAAGTTAGAGTAACTCATTCCCTCTCAGAAGACTCTCAGATGCCTCAGGGATGGAATTGTCCTCCAGGTTGTGATGGGCCTGGAAAGCATTATGAAGCAGAGAACTTTCTAAGCATTGATTTCATTTTGTATTGGCCATCTACTGCTGGGAACAGGGTCTGCTTTTAAGGATTGTTTGTAAAGCCGGGCACAGTGGTGCACAGCTGTAATACCAGAATTCTGGGAGGCAGAGGCAGGCAGATCTCTGAGAGCTTGAGGACAGCTTGGTCTACAAAACAAAGGGAGTCCAGCACAGCCAAAGCCATCATACAGAGACAGGAAGCCACATTCAAACAGATGAAGGAAATGGTACAAGACATAAAAATAGAATTAGAATAAATAAAGAAAACACAAACAGAGAAAACTCTGGAGCTGGAGAACTTAGAGAAAAGATCAGGAACCACAAAGGTAAGCATCACCAACAGAATACAAGAGATGGAAGAGAGAATCTCAGGCACTGAAGATGCACTTGCAGAAATGGATACTTCTCTCAAAGAAAAAGAACCTGGAGCCCTTCTTTTTCCCAACACATTCCCTTCCTTCTTTCATGACATTCTCCTTTCCCCCCTCTCCCTTTTCCTCTTCCTCCTTCTAGTTCTTCATAATTCACTGAGTTTAGTTAGAGTAGCTGACATGAATATGGATGTGGGATTATTTTTCTGGGTGATGGACAATTTACTGGTAACACTCTCTGAAGAAAAATGACTCCCAGGCCCTCAATAGTCAGTAACTGTTAGTAACTCCTCAGTCAGTGGAGGGGCCTTATGGTCTTCCCTCTTCCATGCTGGAATGCTGATGATTTCTGTTTTTTGCAGGCAACCACAGCTGCTGTGAGCTCACGAGTGTCCAGAAGGCAGTATTTCACAGCATTTTTCTCTATCGTCTAGCCTTAGTTTTTTCATATTCCCTTTTCTTTTGTGATTTTTTTTTTGAGCATCAGGTGGTGGTGATAAATGTCTTCTGTAGGGCTGGTCACTCAACAGATATTCTCAGCACTTTTACTATGAGTCTTTGACCCATTCAAAAGGAGCTACTCATCCAGGCAGTCCTGATGGGACCTGATAGGCTGGGGTGAGATAGTAAGGGAGGAGGACTTCCTGTATCAGTAGACTAGGGGAGAGAAATAGGGGAGGAAGAGGGACCAGGAGGAGATGAAGGAGGTGGCAACAACTGGAATACAAAGTGAACAAGGTTATATCATCTAGTTATGTTGGGTAGCCAAGAGCAGGGGCAATAACCTGCACTGTTTCCAAGGTCCTTGAGGCTTCACTAATGAAAAAGACATAGAGAGGTATCCCATGAATGGCCCTGGAATTTTTATTTTGTAATCTGTAACTTCCGAGAACTACCCAATCTACCCAATCAGAGTATCACTGTTCAAACTACTTTAAAATATTTTAATTAGCTTATAAAGTAGTGAGCTTTTTATAGTACTTTTTACACATCATTTGTTGTAGTTAATCTTCCTCTTATGAGCTTCTCTCCCTAACCCTAGTCCCCTTTCTCACTTAGGCCTCACAGCATTCATTACCTCTATTTACATCTCACATGTGTTCTTCTGTTTCTTTCTCAAAACTTCTTGAGAAAGTTCATCCAAATACAGATTTAATCAAGAAGACACAAACACATATGGACTTCAATGGTTTATGCTTAACTAATATTTTATTTCTACATTTGTACATTCTCTTTCTTCATTGAGATCATGGCAATTTTTTTGAAGGAATCACTGAAGGCTTGCCTAACTTGCTTATTTCTCAGAGTGTAAATGAATGGGTTCAACATGGGAACAACTGATGTCATCAGAACTGCTACACCTTTATTGATAGCCACAGATTCCTTTGCTGAAGGGTTGATGTAAATGAAAATACAGCTTCCATAAGTGATTGAAACTACAATCATGTGAGAAGAACAAGTGGAGAAGGCCTTTTTCCTCTGCTGGGGAGAGGGGAATCTTAGGATGGTCTTGATGATGCGTATGTAGGACAGAACAACACACACCAGGGTCAGAATGAAGGTTAGCACTGCACAGACAATCACCAGCTGCTCTATAAGCCAAGTGTCTGAGCATGAAATCTTCAAGATGGGAGATGCATCGCAGAAGAAATAATCAATAACATTTGACTCACAGAATTTCAAATTTAGGAACAGGGTAAGTGGTGGGAGTATGATCAACAAGCCAGCTGCCCAGCAGCAGAGAACAAGCTTCTGACACATCTTGCTGCTCATGATGGTTACATAGTGCAGTGGTTTGCAGATGGCCACATAGCGGTCATAGGACATAATGGCCAGAAGAAAAAACTCAGTTACTCCAAAAACATCAGTAAAAAACACTTGAATGACACAAACATTATAAGGAATTGACCTGTCTCCTGTTGCTATGTTGTACAAATATCTAGGAATACAAGCAGATGTAAATGAAATTTCTAATATGGAGAAATTTTGTAGAAAAAAGTACATGGGTGTCTTAAGGTGGGAGTCCAGTACAGTGAGGAATATGATAGTCAGATTTCCGGTTACACTCAACATGTAGGCAAAAAACAGGAACAGGAAAACTGGAATCTGGAGCTGAGGGTCATCTGTTAGTCCCAACAGAATGAAGGTGCTTATCGTGTTGTTTTTCATCACTGATTACCGAATTACTCAGTCCTCACGTAAAATCTGTAGATGTCTTACTTGAAAAGCAGCAACTCCAGATAGCAGCAAACAGTGACTTATTCATATGTAGTTTCTTCTACAAGTGGTAGCTGATACTGTTGGTATTCTTATGAGCTTGCTCAATAATTTACTTTAGTTGATTGGTTTGACAGTTTGCGATATATTTTAAAGATAAACTTAAATGTTATGATATTCATATTCTTCATTTTTGTACTTGTAATCTGTACCTAATTGGATTTTCATGTGGTGTTAGATTCAAATCACAATGTATTCTGATTCAATAAAATTATTGTCTTTATATGTCTAACATTTCTTTTGTATTTGAAAGGTGCACGTTCAAATGCCATCATGCCTTTCCTAGAATATTATCCTCTATAAAATGTAAACATGTAACAACTCATCTGAATCCCATGAACAGGTCTGTTGCTTCAGCTGTAACTTGTAGTTTATATTTACCACGATGATTAAGCATGCATTTATGAAGTATGTCTTCTGTTTTAGGTTGGAACCTCTACGTTGCTTTGTAGCATCTCTACATCACTTTTATATTTCTCTGTTAGTGTGTAATTCATACTCACTGTTTACTGGGATACACAATTGACTACATAAAAATGTTTTTCCAAGCTGAGAAAAGAAAACATAAGTTCTTTATTCTTTCAGTGTTTTGAGTATGGGAAATATTTTAGCAACTTACCACTACCATCAAGTTTAAAATGCCACACATGTTTTCTATGTACCGACTCTGAATAACTACTTATTTTTGATGTTTAGTTTGAATGTCCCTTTACTAAAAGTTGCCTAAAACTCTCTTGTCTTCATTACTCATTGTGTTCCTGTGTCAGGTTATTCTATGTCACCACTTGAAAAAGTAAGCTTCTCGAAATCAGGGACTGTTCTATTTTCTTAACCCAGAGAGCAACCCAAACCAACACACACACACACACACACACACACACACACACACACACACACACGTGTGCAAACCGCTGCGCTGTGTAACTGTAATGAGCAGCAAGGTGTGTCAGGTCTTTCTGCTTTCATGGTATGCATGTCACTCATTGATCCACTAACTTAGTTCCTGTCATTGACTGTAACTTTAAAAATTTTGTATGTTTCTGTATTCAGTCTTGAGATTTTCTTTTTGTATTTAAATGATTTACTAGTGAATAAAGTCATTACTATTTCACAAGCTGCTCAAAATGCAAAGTAGCTTCTCTTCCGTGCATTAGCTGTCATTATAACTTTGTTACTGACAATTTTAGCTTTCTTGACACATCTGTCATAATATATTCAAGTCAGAAGTCAAGGAATTCAGATACATTAATACATAATTTTCACATGCTATTTACATAACATACAGCAAATATTTTTGTATTGCCGTTAACACACTTCAGTCCATTTAATTTAACATACTACATTTGTGGCAAAAGTTAAGAACTCTCTCTAGTTTTGTAAACTGTTAGATTTCAAAGTTTCACCCATATTAAAGTAACATGAACATATGCTAAACTTTAAAATAATTTCTTATATGCTATTTGGATCTCTTTATTTTTAACTGTTAAAGTGTCTCCAAAGTGTGGTTTTACAGTTTTATAATTCTTACAAATGTACCTTCAATAACAATAGCTACATTTATATACTTCGTGCTCCAGAATATTGTCTATGAACTTTACATTACTTTCCCTTGAATTAACGCTGTCGTTAATTCAATTAGTGTCACATTAATAGCATTCAAATCAATACGTTAAATATACCTTTTTTCAAGATTAATTATTTTTTTTTTTACACAGTCTCATTATGTAGGCCTGGTTGGCCTGAAACTTACTATCTAGACTGGGCTGGCTTTAAACTTGCAGAGATCTGCCTGCTTCTGTGTTCTAAGTCCTGGGATTAATGGTATGTAGCACCATTCCTTTTCTTTCTCTTCAAGATTTTTGGTAGTTTTCGTTGGTTATAATTTTTGTTCTATGAGGTTTTCATTCATAAAGTTATATCATGTAATGGTCAGCTTTTCAGTTTCCATTTAAAGCTTTCACCACCATTTTCTACAGGTTTTCACCTTGTATTTTTTATTCATGTTTCTTCAATGGATATTTTAATAATATATAAAAATAAGAGTTAAGGGCTTCCTAATTTTTGGTTTCAAGTAATAGTTTCTCTGTTGGTTTTCTCAGGTGACACTTTGTTTCATGAGCACACTGAATGAAGAGTGGTTTAGTTTCTGAATGTCCATCTCCAAGTGTTTGAGTTACTCTTAAGATGAAGAGAATTCAATTTTGTTTCCATTTACCTAAGGAAACTAGCATATTATGTGAGCAGTTGTCCTTTTGCCTTTAATAAAATGGTCACTGGCTCAAGAGATGGGTACACCCTCCCTTAATTATACAGCAGGTTTACCATCAACAGGAAGGAGAGCCATGATATTCCCAGGAATTATAGAGACTGAATGATTTTAATAAACTTGGTGCCCTCTTTTTAGCCTCCCTCCTGTTGTCAACCCATGTCTTCTGAGTGTCTACTCCAGGAGTTAATTTGTGGTGTCTTGTTTATGTCTACACTGCTGTGTGATAGCCATGGCTATAAAATAACCTTCATTCACTTCATTAAAGCAGAAATCTTAGCTTTTAAGAGCCTTAGAAAATAATTGTATTTCCCAAAGAGATTTTTTATTAAAAAATTTCAGAAAGCCAAAATTTTTTCCACATCAAGATAAATTATTATGTTGGATGATTTTTAATCACGCATCTTTCCCCTTTAAACAGGGGAGTGTGGTTATGAAATCACAGTAACTGGCCATCTATACATTTACATTGTATTTATACTTTGATAAAAGTAGCGCCATTAAAACACAACTTGAGCTAAGTGTGCATCTTTATGTAACATTTATATAAATAATTACAGTTGATTTTGATATGTCAGGTTTAATATACTCACCAGAAAAATCATCACCAAATGTGAAGTTGAATAAAATAGCCTTGTACTTGCTCTTCTGAGAGCTAACATTAGGTTCAGTTGATTCTTTAACAAGAGTCCAGAAGTCTGTTTTGGTACAAAGAACCTACCAGCAAAGGCTCATGTGGAACTTTCTAGTTTTAGTTGTACCAATTCCCACTTTCTCTCTCATGCTGAGGGAAGGCCTAGCCCTACAAACCTTCCAAACATTTCATTTCCAATACACTAGATGGATTTTCTAATCAGGATTTGGTTCCCTTTTATCCTAGGCAGGTATTCTAGATTTCTTTTGGTTAAAAATAAAATATAACTGCAAATACTGTCTTCATTTTTTTTTTTTAAACATCGACATGATATTTTCTTTGGATAGGATTTTTAAATCAAATTTGCATTTGATTTACTTTTAAGCCTGAAACTAAATAAATAAATATCAAATTTGCATTTGATTTACTTTTTAAGCCTGAAACTAAATAAATAACTATCTGCGTCCTCAGTGACCTATGTTCAGACATCACTAATGAGTCTCTATAATGAACTTGGGCAAAAATCCTGAAAGATGCTGCAGTGGGGGCAGTGTCATTAGAGACACAAAGATGCAACCATAGCAACAGTTACAGACCAAGACACAAGGAAAAAAATCTCAGATGGTCAAGAACCACTGGCATCTCCTGTGTTTTTCTCCTTACCATGAATGAAAGGTGAAAGAATAAAAGGCTATTGCAACTAATGTTTTTCTCAGGCATTAATGATAAAACAAAAACACTGAAAAACTTGAAGCAAGTTTTCTTTTAATATCTGGAAGTAAATGACAGTGTGAATTTTTAAATATTACTTCTGTTATTTGTAGTTGGAACTTGCTCTTTTCACTTAATTACATAAACTTTAATTGAAGCAATGGCAATAAAGATATATTGTAATGCATATCATATACTCTTATTATCCATTTATATTTTAAATCACTCCTAGTTTTTCTCATTTTTACTAGTCCTTTGAGAATTTTTTTAATAGTTTTTATTTTTTTATATTAGTCACAGGTTACTTACTTTGTATCCCAAGCATAGCCCCCTCTCTCATTCCCTCCCAATCCCGCCCTCTCTCCCTCATCTCCTCCCTGCCCCTTTCCAAGTCCACTGATAGGGGAGGTCCTCCTCCACTTCTATCTGACCCCTAGCTTATCAGGTATCTTCAGGACTGGCTGCAATGTCCTCCTCTGTGGCTTAGCAAGGCTGTTCCTCCCTTAGGGGAGGGGGAGGTCAAAGAGCCCACCATTGAATTCATGTCAGAAATAGTCCCTGTTTTCCTTACTAGGGTACCCACTTGGATACTGAGCTACCATGGGCTACATCCAAGCAGGGGTTATAGGTTATATCCATATGTGGTTCTTGTTTGCAGAAAGTCTCTTAGAGGACCCCCATGTCCTGATATATTTGGTCCTTGTGGAGTTTCTGTCCTCTCCAGGTCATACTAACTGCCCCTTCCTTCATATGATTCCCTGCACTCTGCTGAAGGTTTGGTTATGAGTCTTAGTAGCTGCTTTGATACACTGCTAGGTAGAGTCTTTCAGAGGCCCTCTGTGGTAGGCTCCTGTCCTGTTACTTGTTTTCTCCTACTTCCTATGTCCATCCCATTTGTCTTTCTAAGTGAGGATTGATCATCTTATCCCGGGTCTTGTTTATCTTTTTTAGGTGTACAGACTTTAGTATGTTTATCTTTGAGAATTTTGTAGTTTATTTCAATTACACTCACTCCTTCTTCCCCTTCCATGACCACCCAACTTTGTGGTTTTTTTTAAAACTTATCAGCATAATTTAGGGTGCCCCATATGCTCTTGGATGTGTGACCTTCATTGGAGGGTGGTAAGCCTGCTAAGAGCTGAACCCTTAAAGGAAACTAACTTTCCATGCTGGAATTCTCTCCACTTAAGCCTGCATAAGTCTTGTAATACTCTATCAACTACTTTGAATTTATATATACAACTCTCATGATGAATCCAGGAAACACCATTTCCTTGTAGT